GGGGGCGCGCGGGGCGGGGGGGGTCGCGAAGGGGGGGGTCGTGGGGCGGGGGTACGGGTTTGGGGGGGGGTCAAGGGGAGGAGTCTCGAGGGCGAGGTCAGGGTCAAAACCGGAATAACACCTAGGTGTGAAAAGGTGACCCTCCAGCCGCTGGTCCTAGACCGGGAAAGGGGGTGCGCTCAGGGGAAACGCCTAAACCCGGGAAGGGTGCGCCCAGTGGAAGGCCTAAACCGGAAGGGTGCGCCCAGTGGAAGGGCCCTAACCGAAGGGTGCCCCCAGTGGAAAAATCGACTACTTATATATATATATATTATATAATTATTATATATATATATATATATATATATATATATATATATATATATATATGTATTGTGTGTGTGTGTGTTCATTTATTCATCAGGGATTTGCCGGTACTTCCGGCCCGGGTCTTCTCCAGATGGTGACCCGGCGGTGCTTTATCAACACATCGGCCGTCTCCCGCCAAGGCAGGGTGGCCCAAAAAAGAAAAACTTTCACCATCATTCACTCAAGTCCTGGAGATGGGAAACGTCAAAGTGTAATGAACAGTTTTATATTTGAGTTAACCCATAGGAGACAGACATCAGAACTTTGAGCTCTTTCTCGATCTCCATTTGAGATCCTTTTCAGCAGACAGAAATAAAGTGAGAACATGCATTTATACGAGTACATAGATATATGTACCTGAGTAGGTGAGGTCATTTATGAGAGTTTAAGGTGACAGGTGCTGAGGAGAATGCGAGGTGCTTTATATTGGTTGTAAAGTAAAAGGACACAAGTGCAACTAATGTGTTATTTTATTGTGGCAACGTTTCGCTCTCCAGGAGCTTTGTCAAGCCGTTACAAACAATACATGGACACAGAGGGTATTGTTTGTTAAGGCTTGATAAAGCTCCTGGAGAGCGAAACGTTGCCACAATAAAATGTCATATTAGTTGCACCGGTGACCTTTTACATTATATATTGTCAGTAATTCTACCAACATATATGTACTGATGCAGGTTAAAGATGTGTACTTAGTAGTAACTGAGGATGGTGAGAAGTACTCTCTAGGGATCTATTTTGAAACCCTGTTTGGCCTCATCTGTCCCTGGGAAACATAGATGGTCCGAAACGTCGTCGTATGCTTCCTCTTTTTTTTTTTTGTGTCTATTTTATTTTGACCAAAATTTGTGCGGGTTTTTGTGTTTGTTCCAGCCGGGTACCGTCCCTTTAAAAATTCTTTAAAAAAAAGTCTTGTGTGCATTCATTTTTTTTGCGTGCAGCTTAAAAAATATAACGTTTTAAAAAAACAGCATTAAATTTTTTACTTCAAAAAAAATTCCCCAAATAAAAAAACCCCCCCCCTTCTACCACCACGGGAAAAATTTCTTAGCCCCTCATTTTAAAATCCTCAAGCACCTCACATTCGGGGGGAAAGGGCGAAAAGCGACAAGTGATAAAAAGGACATTTGGGGAGAATGGTGTGAGGCGTGAAAGGGGTTTAAAGGGGGCGTTTTTGGCTTGCTGGGGGGCAAGCTACCGTTTTTTTCGTACCCCCGTCGGGAGAAATCCCTGGCGGTCTCACCCCGTAAATTTTTTTAAAACTTCACAAGGGATATTGTAGAAAATTTATTTGAAACTGTAAAAGAGATGAGTGATACCTTTTTTAAACGTAAAAGGGATGATAAAGACCCAAGTTTTAATTATTCTCTAATTTTCCCTTTTCTTCCATTCTCAGGCTCTCTGAGGTTTTTAAACGCCCGGGGTGAAGAAAACCCGAACGCTTGGGACAAAAGGGTTTTTAAAACTTGGATGAAAACGTTCCTTTTGTGGAAATTTATTCTTTTTTTTTATAAGCATTTTTTTATTTGTCAGTTGCTTACTTGTCCCTGCAAAATTACCGACTTCGTTGTATTTTTTTTCTTGTTTGCAGTAAAAGGGGTTTAACTTAATTTTTTTTGCAATTTCCATTGTTGTTGTTTTTATTGTTTTTATTATTATTGATTTTTTTTATTCTTTTCTTTTGCATTTTATTTTATTTATTATAAAAGCGTTAACGGTATTAGCATTAGAAATACTGACATTGTGTAATTTTACTGTTATCGTTTTTTTTTTCTTTTTGTGTTTTTGATAACTTTTTTAAAGTAGAGCAACATTTTTGGTAATAGTGTAGTGTCTAGGTTTATTATTATTATTATTATTATTATTATTATTATTATAGAGTGGGCCCGGGAAAAACCTTGAGAGGCAAAACAACAAACACAGGTGAACCTCACTTGATGAATCTTCTGATAGCGCCTAACCTATCCCCATTTTAAATTTATCTTGCTTTCAAGGGAAACATTATCGTTAAAGGGCAGATCTAAGTATCCCCCTTGTAAGCGATGGCCCAACCCCCCCTGTATACCGTGATTTTTTTCCTTTCATTTTATATAAAAATGTTCCCTTGCCCCTTTTGAAGGTTTCCCTAGACAAACCCACACCCCGGATGCCTGGTTTTGTTTGTCAAAAAGAGAGGACAAAATATCTCTGTTCGAAAAAGGCCCCCCTTAAAGTTGGCAACTCCCCAAAAGCCTATAAAGAAAAAAATTGATGCTGCTATGAAAAAAAACGGCTGTGGGGGTACTCGATCATAAGTGATAGACGACAGATGATTGGAGGGGTTTTATATTTTCTGTAAGGTCATTTTAAAGTACTTTGAGTACAATGAAAGGGGAAAAAAGACAAACCCTCTTCGGTTTGGGAAAAACCCATTCAACAAGCGCCAGAACACCCACTAAAAAGTTTTTTTGGAGTATTTTTTATTGCTTAGGGCCCTGGACAGCTTGTTTTTTTGAGGAAACGATTGACAGTGAGGATACAAGGTATTCTGGAAATCTATGCTTCCCTTTGTGGATAAGATTTCCCTGGTGGAAAGGCATTTTTCCAGCGGATATTGTTCCTTTTCCACATTCACAAAAAATGCTGACTTTCTTCGAAGAGAGGGGGGGCTGAAACTTTCCGACTTCAATTTAAAAGGGAATCAAACTCGCATCGCGAAACGAATTTTTCAACGTGGGGAAGTAATTGTGCTGTTATTGGGGACCTGATACCCGCGAAGAATTTGCTAAAATGTGTTCAACAGGGGGGGGGGGGGGGGTTTCTATGAAAAAGGGGTTAGCGT